TTTTTTTACATGGATAAAGTATTATTAAAGGATGGTTGGTACTGAATTTGGTGAGTATCGGTGAAAGGATTCATTTTTTATAAAATTTTAATTTTTTTGAGAAATGTCTGTACACGCTGTAATTTTCGGAAAATTTGAGATATCGGATTAAATTTTTTTACATGGATAGAGTATTATTAAAGGATGTTTGATATTGAATTTAATGAGGATTGGTGAAAGAATTCATTTTAATTTTTATTTCGCTCATAAAGCTTCCTCTATGAGAAAGCAAAAATTGAAAAATTCGCATGCTTAAAGCAGCTTAAGCTTTGTAAGATAAAATGATGAGGAAGCAATGTGCAAGTTTCTAATTTGCACAACTCTACTTGTTTGAATAGTCTATTGCTGCCATTTCAGTCGTATGCATGTTGTTTCGAAAAAGTTTGCAATTCTCGAAATGTGGCGAATAGTGAGAATGAAGTTAATGAATGCATTTATTTCATAAAAAAAATCTTATAAAAGTTTCTTAAAAGAAATTTATAATTCTCTCTTTTTTTTCTTTCTTGAGATTGTAATTTGTTTCATTACTTTTTAAAGATAATTTCATTAATAGTATTTTTAAGATAAGATTATTAATAGTATTTATAATTGTTATTTTATATTTATACATATATATATAAGTATATATGTATATACAAATATACATATGTTTATTTGTAGGTTCAATCTGTATCTGAAGTTATTTATCCTGCAGTTTATCATAATGGGAATAAATTGGTCCATCATGACAGCGATTTGGTTGTCTGAAGATTTGTCAAGTTATGGCATATATGTTATGAATTTGGTGGACATTATGCAGAATTTTTGCACCTTTATTGTATTTGTGTGGAAAAAAAATATCAAGCAGATGATATTGAAGCGATGCGGCTGCAGTTTGTTTCTTGAAGATTAATGAGCAACAGATGCAACAGCGTAATAATAAAACAATAATAACTTGAAAAAATAGTGCTGATAAAATACTAAAAATTTAAGAAATTTACATATATCTTTTAGACCGTAAATTAAAAAAAGCTCTTTAAAACTTATTTACAAGTTTTTTTAATTTACAGTCTAAAGGATATATGTAAATTTCTTAAATTTTTAGCATTTTGTCAGCCCTACTTCTAAAGTTATTATTGTTTTATTATTCGCTTTGTAAGGTCCTCTCTCTCTCCTCTCTCTCTCTCTTTCTGTCTCTCCTCTCTCTCCTCTCACTCCTCTCTCTCTCTCTTCCCGTCTCTCCTCTCTCTCCTCTCACTCCTCTCTCTCTCTCTCTTTCTGTCTCTCCTCTCTCTCTCCTCTCACTCCTCTCTCTCTCTCTCTCCCTCACCCTCTCCCTCTCCTTCTCCCTCCCCCCTCTCTCCCTCCTCTCTCTCTCCCTCTCTCTCTTTCTGTCTCTCCTCTCTCCTCTCTCTCTCCTCTTTCTCTTTTCTCTCCCCTCTCTCCTCTCTCTCTCCTCTTTCTCTTTTCTCTCCTCTCTCTCCTCTCTCTCCCCTTTCTCCTCTCTCCTCTCTCTCTCTCTTTCTCTTATAAATATATATTATTGTTGTATTGGGGATTGTAATAAAAACTTGTAATTAAAGCATTTATTGTAATTTCTCAACACAATTACTTGCTTTTGTAAAATTATTATAACGTAATTTAATTTAATTTATTTTTAATTTTTAATTTTGTGCTCACAATGAATCTCTTATCGGTACATATTATTACGAGTCAAATTAATGGTTGTAATCTCGTGAAAATTTTTAATGTTATAAAGAATTGTTAAAAATATTGTGCTGTAAAATATTAATCAAAGAAGATTATCTTTGATGCAAATATATAATTTATAGAGAAAAGTATTATCTTTTCGACAAATATGGTCTAAAAGTCCAAATAGATTATACAAATATATGTATACAAATGCAATCATTTTAAATTGTTTAAAAATAGCATTCTTTTGTTCGATTTTCTCTCATACTGTTATTTTGTATACATTTTGTATACATACGTGCATACATAAATTAATTATAAATTAAAGAAAATAGTAAACTACTTACATAAATTTTGCTCTGCACAATAAAATACTATATTAGCTAAAAATATAGTTTTGCATTTTTAATTAAATATCATGATGCACGAATATTTTTGCGCAATATGTATAGAATGAAAATTGTAAAAGTGTACTTAATTTTCAACAAATTTAAATTTTAAACATTAAAAAAGATCAAAGAAATAATTCTTCTGTTTTATCAGTTTTTCTAACACTGCGTCATTACCATTATACATATATAATGATTATTAGCACTGTATATTATATTTTGATATATCTAGTAATTAATGAGCAAGCAAAATAGCTACTAAGACATTTAAATCATTTATAAGTTACTATACAAGTAATATTTATTTCATACTATTATTCTTTATATTTCGTAAAATGCAGTTATCTAAAATCGTTGCAACTTCGAATTTCTTATTAGAAAGTTGAATAAAACCGGGTAGGCGGGTCAAACCGGATACCCCTGTTTTTTCGTAATAAATGCTGCTATCTATAGCTAACTTGTGTTATTGTTATTGTGTATAGTTGTAGATTGGCGCCATCATTATTTTAAAATTTAAAACAGACCGTGCCTCTGTGCACACAATATTTCTTTTTTAATAAAAGTTCAAAGTTTTTAGCCCCAAAAATATCGATATCGAGGCAAGAATCGAGTTGTCGTGCACTTTTTCTATATAGAGCATCTGTTTCGGTAAGTGCAGCATTGCATTCTGTACATATTAGAGAGTATATCATATTAGTTTTGATCGGCACTTTGTACGCCGGAATATAACCGCCGTATTTGTTACTTTCCTTGTGTTGGGGCAAAATCGGGTACTTACACATCTCATATAATGAAAAGAGGAAGAACTGTTATCCTGACTTTGTGTCCCTACAAAAAGCAGTTGAAAACGAAAACTAATGCTCAGAAAAAGAAATCATTAAAAAAAAAAAAGCTTTTTGAG